ATATGTTGTGGCACTATCGTGCAGTCTATAATGATATGACGTTAGTTAGCAAATATTAGCGATTTTTGCAAACATTTCTTTGAGTAACATGACCGTAAATATGAACTCACGATTGAATATAACATAAAACAAATGATTACTTTTCGTTAAAATCTTTATTAATGCCAAAAATGCTTACATTTATTTGTCTTTTTGTTCGCTCGGGCAGCCATGTTGCCCCTGAAGCCGGTTTACGCTGAGATAATTCATACCCCTTCGTTTGAAGTGTGGTCCCGAAAAATCTTCGTTTGAAGGGCTGTCTGGCCCTTCCCCTACCCCTACCCCTCCAACCAAAAGAGAATCGAGACACCCCTACCCCTTCACGTGAATGCGCGAAACGGAGGGGTAGTGGAAAGGGGAAGGGCTAAGGGGTAGAATTGGGATTGGGCCTTAGTATATCATTAGTTTGTGTCATAATTTCAATTTTTTATTAGCACCATATAATTTCAATGTTTTATCTCATAATTATGACTACATAATTATTTCAACATTTTGTCATAATTTCAACTTTGTTATAATTGGTTTATATTATATTTTCAACTTTTTATCTCATAATTATGACTTAGTATCTTATAATTTCAACTTTTTATCTCATAATTACGACTACATTACTTCAACATTTTGTCATAATTTCAACTTTGTTATAATTGTTTTATATAATAATTTTAACTTTGATCTCATAATTATGACTTAGTATCTCATAATTTCAATATTTTATCTCATAATTCTGACTACATAATTATTTAAACTTTTTGTCATAACCGTTTTTGTCATAATTTCAACTTTTTGTTATAACTGCTTTATATTATCATTTCAACTTTTTCTCTCAAAATTATGACTTAGTATCGCATCATTTCAACTTTTAATTTCATATTATAATTTATAAAAGCAGAATTTGTTTTCTTATGTGGCAGAAATGGGTTTCCATATGAAAGTTTTAGCACTTGCATGATTTGCAGAAACATGATTTATTTTCTTACGTTGCAGAAATGGGTTCCCATACAAAAATTGTAGAACTTACTTGCAGTTTTTGCATTTTAAGCCGAACAGCATTCCTTTCCCGCACACGATACATGTCTGCGACATCCAATACTTCGTGGAAAACCTGCACAAGCACAAATAAGTAGTGTGATTCATTACTGAGCCATTATTGAGACATTTTCCAAGAAAAAAACTCTAATTTCATCCATTTTTAAAATGCATGAGGCCATATGGGTTTGTTTCGCTTCGCTGTCAAACTATCAGCAGATGGTTCTGACCTTTTGACAACCACTCCTAAACTCTTCAGATGAAAGAGCGAATGTGTCACAACAGCGATCACGTTTGCCAAGTAACCTTTTCATCGAGAGACAGATATGTGCAGGGTATGCCCAAAGATAGGCACTTTGGCAGTAATTCTCAATTTAGAGTAATTTAATTGTAACCGAGTATCTCTCAATATCTCTTTTGCACTCAACTGCACTTGACAAATACACGAGAGGGCAAAGAATTGCATGGAAGGTGCTCTCTGTATTTTTCATTTCTTCTATCTCTATCACTTTTTGTTTACACGCAGTCATATTTGCCGTTCTCCACAATAAAAGAGCCATTCAAATCTCCTGCAATAGAGTTCCTCTGAAGGGTCACTGTGCATTTGCCAATCTATTTCTCTGATATGAACAGAAGCTGACAGTTAATAGAATATGACTAATGGGCTATGACAGTGTCAAAGTGTCTTCATTAGATTGAAGCCATACTGTCTCATAAAAGAAGAGGCTGGCTTTAGTACGCAGCTCACATCACCGTAGCCAGTTTGAAGTTGATATGAGCGTTTCAATTTTTTGGATCTGTTTATCTGCTTGCGTTTTGAAACTGGCAGTTGTCCATCTATGATGACATGTAGACGTTGATTTCCACGTCTAAAGTACTAGGAAAATGAGACACTTTTTAGCCTTGGTGAACTTTGCATATGTTTTGATGGCTAAGCTACACTATGCTCTCATTAAAAACCCTGTTAACTTTTATTACAAAAGCACAGTGTTTCGTGGTCTAAGTACAAATGCAGGCTCTTTGTTTGACTTGGGATCGGTGGTATTTGGGGTTATCATGTCATCAGATTTGAGCAGGCATGACTGGAGTTGCACAACCACACGAGTTAATTTGCTTGACATTTTGTAACCACTATCACACATTCACATCGGCACAAACCTTACCTGTGTTTTATGGAGTTGCCGAGGTCTCTGCGAGGTATTTGAGGAGACCAGCGAGGAACAGACAGAGTATCTGGAACAGAATTGTGATTGGGTCAGACTCAGGAAAACAGGATTAATGCTTGTAAACAAAGAATTAAAACCTCAAATAACTATAATAAACCTTAAAATCACTTTCATTAAGAGGATAAAAGAAGTATTATAAATCCTGGATGAGCTATAAAGTGGTTATAAAAAAGCAACAAGTTACAAGAAGCCATACACATGATTTTACCATAGTTAAGAGGTTTTCTATATAATTAAACATTTTTAATAAATTGTTTTAAATGTAAATATTTAAATATTGTAATACATTTACACTATCGTTAGTGTCAGATTTTTTTAAAGAAATTAATATTGTTGTTATTTTTTTCAGCTTTTATTAATTTTTATTTTAAGAATGCATTAAATAGATCAAAGGTGACAGTAAAGACAATTATACAAGATGTTTCCAAAATATTTCCATTTGAAATAAATACAGTTTTTCTATTCATCCTGAATAAAAAAAAAAAATGTCACCGTTTCCATAAAAATAATTTGCAACACAACTGTTTTCAGCACTGATAATAATAAGAAATTTCTCTTGAGCATCAAATCAGCATTCTGGAGATTTTTTAATTACATTTCAAAATATATTAAAATAGTTGGAGTTATCTCAAATTGTAACAATTACAATTATTTTGAACTAAATAATTGTCACTACCATTCACAAGTTGTGGTCGGTAAGTTTTTTAAAATGTTTTTGGAAGTCTCTCTTCTATTTGATTAGAAATACAGTAAGATACAGTAAGATACTGTATTTCTAATCAAATAGAAGAGAGACTTCCAAAAACATTTTAAAAAACTTACCGACCACAACTTGTGAATGGTAGTGACTTCATTATAACTTTATTAGAAAAAACACTCTATATTTAATATATAAATCCTTAAATTCTTAAAAAGATTCATCAAATAGAATTTGAAGAATTTAAATATGATGTCTTCTGTCATCATTCAAATGGACAAGATCTGATAAAACCTAAATGGAGACTTGTAAGACAATAATCGCATTTGCTTCCCACAGCACTGTTAGTTCAAAAGGCCATTCATCAGATTGTCCACGCTCAATTATACTCTATTATATTATACTCTATACTCTATACTCATTTATTTATGATTACGAGATACGAGGACAAGCACACATGCACACACACTCACGATAATCTGCTCTGCCGTATTCTCAAATCTTAAAATACTGTATGAAAAAATATGAGGAGCCTTGCATTCATTACCTGCCTCATAGTCTGCCTTTGATTGCATCAACTTATATATTCACTTGAGATTCCTGATGACTGCCTCTGTCAATGTGCATTGCTTGATGCTTATATCAAATATGGATGTGAGTGTATCTCTATTGTGACCTCAGCATTCTGCTCGGCTGGTTCTTTCAGGTGGATCAGGATGAACACGGAGTTCCAAATTAGATCAGAGCTTTGATATGATCTTTGTTCTGGGGTGCTGGACTTCTTCTGAATCACGAGTGATCTTGAGGGGGAAAACAGCATAAATATATGAGTGTTTTTCCGACTATGTGCGCTTTAATGGCCCAGGGGTTGATTTTTATCAAAACTTACAGACAAATTTAAACTTTTTATTATATGACGCTCGCATTAAAACTTTTTACCTTTTACTTTAGCTACTTTTCAGATTCTTTTTCTATATAGATTTTATTTTACTCTTGTCCCAGTCCCAGACTTTCAATCTTTGTGTATGAAAATATCCATTATACAATATCATATTATAGAAGCTCTGATATCTTCTGAAGCTTGCTTCCATCATAGGATAAAAGAAAATAATAATAAAAAAGGTAATTGTGACTTTTTATATCACAATTCGGATACTTTTTCCTCACAATTCTGAGTTTATATCTCGTAATTCACACTTTTTTCTTGAGAATTGCGAGATATAAACTCGCAAATCTGAGGGAAAAAAAGTCAGAATTGCGAGACAAACTCAAAATAGTGAGATGCAAATTATGAGATAAAAACAGTCAATTACATTTTCTATTTTTTATTCCATGGTGGAAACAGAAAGAAAAAAAACAGAATTGCGAGAACTCAGAATTCAGAGATAAAAAAGTAAATATTGTGATACATGAATTCAGAGAAAAGTCAGAATTCTCCATTTACATTAAATTGTAATTGTGACTTTTTGTCTCACAATTTATACTTTTTTCTCTCGCAATTCTGAGAAAAAAATCTGAATTGCGAGAGGAAATAAAGTCTAATTTGTGAGACAAAAAGTCACAATTACCTTTTTAATATTTATTCACGATTTTTACACAAATTATGAAATTATGACTGGAATTTTGCCCCAAATAAAATCGAATCAAACATTTGTTTAAAATGTCATACTTCCATCAAACACAAAGCATAATTTGAGTCGAGAAATAAATGACATTGCAGTGGAAGCATAGACTGTATAAAAACATGGACGTAGTGTCCGTGACGTAACCCGTAGACTTCCGACGAGCGTTTTGAAGCCTAAAGTAGGCGGAGCCAGCCGTCGCCATCTTGGCAGTGCGTCACTCCCGGATAATCGAAAATGGGCAAAGAGGCGGGAGCTGGCTGCTGAAACCACGCCCACCTAGCTCGACGGTGGTGACAGCAGCGGCAATCCACCTGTCACTCAAGTGGCCACGCCCTTAATTATGCAGAACTTTAAGGCTTAATATAATTTAAACGGATGAGTTATAAAAAAATTCACCCCCCTCACAGTTGTCATGAAGGGCAAAATTAGCTATATAGACCAAAATCATTTTTTGAACCAGGCTGTAAACATGTTTTTTTCTGCTGTAAAGTTGGGCATTTTAACATGGGGAGTCTATGGGATTGACTCCCTTTTGCAGCCAGCCTCTAGCGGCCAGTCGATGAATTGCAGCTTAAGTCACTTCCTTGTTGGCTTCACGAGAGAGAGCGGGAGGTTGCCGCTCGAGTGGAAGGTAGATCAACAAATTCTCAATTTTACTACTAAAGTCAATCTAGTTTTCCAGAGGCTGTACCTTTAAAACACTGGATTACTGTTATTTTACTCAAATGTTATCATTACCACACATAGGAAACACCATATTTAAGTTGCCGTGAATAAAAACAAGCACAATCTGTTTAATATGTCATACTGTTGTGCACATGAGTGACAATCATTCACACTTTTCCACAAATTTACAGTGCTCAAAAAACTAGATAAAGCCTAAGCACAATGTATTAAACAGACTGTACTTCTATCCTTCAAAGACTGTTTTTCACTAATGTACAAATGTGCGTACACAATTATCTTTTTAATGCAGCTGGAATTATCCACTTATATGAATGTACATGCTTGCATATAAAAAATCCACAGTGAACAAAGCAAAGAGCCCCTGCACTGATGTCTTTTGTACATTATTGGATTGGGGTGCCAATCCAACAACCGCACCACCAGCACTGGCACCCCTCAGGGTTGCGTCCTCTCCCCACTGCTCTTCTCCCTCT